ATCTGTAATAAGAATAAAGGCTTGCACTTATATGTGAAATCTAAAAATGTCAAACTCATAAGAGCAGAGAGGAGAATGGTGGTTACCAGAGACTTGGGTACAGGGATGGATGGGGAAAGGGGAAATGATGTTACAAGGGTACAAAGTTTCAGTTAAACAGCAGGAATAAGTTTGAGTGATCTGTTGCACAGAATGGTGACTACAGTTGATAATAATGTATAGCACATTTCAAAATTGCTGAAATAGTAAATTTTTAAATGTTCTCATCACAAAAAATCTAAGTATGTAAGGTTGATGGATATGTTATTTAGCTTCATTTCATCTTTCTATAATGTAAATGTATATCGAAACATCACATTGTACCCCATAAAATGTTTTCAGTTATTATTTTTCAATTAAAAATAATCTTTAAAAACGAAAAAGTTGTTTTTTCAAACAATAAAATTGATAAACTTTTAGGTAGGCTGAACAAAAAAATAAAGAAGATATCAAATTAAGAAAATCAGGAATAAAGAAAAGATGCAACTCCTGATGCTACATTTAAAGTATCGTAAGGGAATATTATGAAAAAATATTTATGCCCCCAAACCAGATAATTTAGTTAAAATGCACGAATACCTGTATTTCACACAAACTATCAAAATTGACTTAAACATAAACATAAAATCTATACAGAACTGCACTATGAAAATATATATTACACTTTTAATAGATGCAGTTTAATACTTGTGTCAATAATACCTCAATAAAGCTGTCATGAAATAAAGATTTTGTAAAACATCTAGGTTTCTTCTTCTTCTAGAAATATCATCATATCTTGCAAAAGTTGTATTGACTCCATCAACACCCTTTCCCTATGTCTTAGGTGGGCCAACTGATTTAATGGCAGCAAAAACTGGAGAGCAATGAAGGTCACCTCCACCTGAGTCACAAGGAACAATCGCTGTTATAAAATACCCATCCTTGGATTATAATATCTCCCTTCTCTCTGTCATGAGATTCCTTCCTATGAAACTATGGTTTGAAATTAAAGGAATACATAAAGTCTTTGGATTAGTTGCTCTGACAGTGACCTTGACTACAGGAGATGCACAAGGTTTTAGGTTTTTGGAATTCCTGTACTACCTCATCCCACAAGCCATAGTTACTGGCTGATGCACAAGGTTTTAGGTTTTTGGAATTCCTGTACTACCTCATCCCACAAGCCATAGTTACTGGCTGATGCACAAGGTTTTAGGTTTTTGGAATTCCTGTACTACCTCATCCCACAAGCCATAGTTACTGGGACAATTTTGAGTGTCCTTTCAGAGGGGGGCTCATCCACTCTACTGTGGTCTCTCCCACTTCCTATTAATCTAACCACTTCCTGCCCCACCCCCACCCCCCTGAATATGGTTGCCACTGGCCCTGCAAGTCTATAGTCAGGAACATATACCTAGTTTTCAACACAGGACTCCTAGGCAGGTCATGAGAGACAGCTCTCCCTCAACAATGTAAAAGAATATGGGAAATCCCATAGGTTGACATCCAACTCATGCTGCTACCAAATGCTCTGATGATTGTGAAGACAACTGACCTACCCTCAAGCTGACTCTGGGAAATACAGATAATCTTTGTACTCAGGGCAGATTTGATGCAGTACTTCAAACTTTCCCAGGAAGCCTCTCAGACAGCAATGCAGGTTGGTTCAAATGTGGATGGATGCTGATCTTTCCCTTCCTGCTATTCGCTCTGGAGCACACAAAGTACACTAGGCCTCACAAAGAAAAACTGTCTTTTCATTCTAGCAAAGACCAATTCTGTTCTAAACCCACAACACACAGTGCGTAGATACCCAAGATGTAAGGTACCTTAAATAGTAGGACGTTCACTGTCACAAAAATCAGCAGTGTATGTGGCAGGGGAGTTCATGGTGTGGGTGACTCAGAGGTTGGAAATATCCATCCCAAGGGTCACAAAATAACCAATAATGCCCCTGAAGGGAAACCTCTGCAAGCTGCCACCCTAGCCAGCCCATGTCCTGTCTAAAACTGATATCCACACCAGAACAATTCTGGAGGAGGAAATGAGGCCCTAAAGGGTTCAAATGACTGGTGAATCTTCCAGAAAAAAGAGACAGAACACCATTTTAATCTAAGGTGTTACACAGTTGGTAGAGGAGGGACAACTTTTGTAATAGGCACTGGCACTAACATAATTCTGACAAAGGCCTCAGGCAAGTTCAAAAGCGAACATAGTCCACGAAAGCTTCCCGTGTATCTATCAATAGAGGGAATATCCTCAGGGTGTATGTTTGGATGTATGAGGTTCAATTGCTGGCTATCTCCTTACAATGCCAATCTCCAGAGCTTTACTCTGTTGCGTTATTGTGGTGAACAAAGAGCCCATATTGCTTTCGCTCAAGTCTTTCTCCAGTGTGAACTTACTGGTGCTGAATGAGGTTAAACTATTGGCTAATGATTTTCCAACATTCCCTGCACTCATTATAAGCTTCTGGATGTGGACTTGTTTTATAAGATATAAAGGTACTTTTGATGGAGAAAACAATACAATCTCACTAGGATACATGAAGGGCAGAACTATTTATTTACTTACAGCTAGAATGAGAGAAAAACTCAGGTACACCCCACAGGGAGTTGCATCCCAGTGACAGTAACCTGAAGCTGCAGGGGGCAGTTTATGAAAGGCAAGTGATTTGGATTAGCTGTTTCCCAGTTCCCTGTGGATTGACTAATCTGGATTATTTGGGCTGTTATGTACTGGCCCAGAATGTAAGAGCCCCATTAGAGGAGGGGTTGGAGATGTGGACATAATCAGATGCTCCAAAAGTGGAACAGACCAGCCTCTAGCCCTGGGCCTCAAAACTGAGTCAGGACAGTATTTGGTAAGGGGGGGAAAAAGAGCATACATATAAAAAGTGTGGCAGGCTGGCCAGTTAGCTCAGTTAGTCAGAGCACCATGTTATGACAACAAGGTCAAGGGATCAGATACCCATACTGGCCAGCTGACAAAAAATTTTTTAAAAAGTGTGGTACTGAAATATAGACATATATATCAGTAGAATGGAGAATCCAGAAATAAACCATGGCATATATGATCAAATGATTTGAAAAGGGTGCTAGGACTATTCAGTAGAGGAAAGAACAGTCTTTTCAACAAATGGTGCTTGGAAAACTGGATATCCATATACAAAAGCATGAAGTTGGAGCCTTGCCTTACACTATATACAAAAATAAACCCCAAATGGACCAAACATCTAAGTGTAAGCTCTACAAATATAAAACTCTTAAAATAAAAACATAGAGAAAATACTCCATGGCACTGGATTTGATAATGATTTCTCAGATATAACATCAAAAGCATAGGTAGAGGTAGGGCTAGCCCGTGGCTCACTCGGGAGAGTGTGGTGCTGGTAACACCAAAGCCACAGTTTCGGATCCCTATATAGGGATGGCTGGTTAGCTCACTGCAGAGAGCACGGTGCTGACAACACCAAGTCAAGGGTTAAGATCCCCTTTAAAAAAAAAAAAAGCATAGGTAGAGGTAAAAATAGATAAACTGGGCTATAACAAAATTAAAAATTTCATCAAAAGACACAACAAAGACGGGGAGAAAGTATTTGAAAATCACATATTTGTTAAAATATCCAGAATATATAAAGAATTTCTACAAGTCAACAACAAAAAGCAAATAACCCCATTAAAAAATGGGGGGGAAAAACTTAAATAGATATTTCTCCAGATATACAAATGCCTAACAAGCATCTGAAAAGATGCTCAACATCACTAATCATCAGCAAAATAAAAATGAAAAATGCAATGAGATTTTACTTCACACCCAATAGGATATCTGCTGTCAAAAAAAAAAAAAAAAAAAAAAAAATTAAGGCTGGCCAGTTAGCTCACTTGGTTAGAGCACAGGGCTGAGAACTTCAATTTCAAGGGTTCAGATCCCCATACAGGGGGGGTGCCAATGCCAAAAAAAAAAAAAAAAAAAAAAATTAAGGCTGGCCAGTTAGCTCACTTGGTTAGAGCACAGGGCTGAGAACTTCAATTTCAAGGGTTCAGATCCCCATACAGGGGGGGTGCCAATGCCAAAAAAAAAAAAAAAAAAAAAAATTAAGGCTGGCCAGTTAGCTCACTTGGTTAGAGCACAGGGCTGAGAACTTCAATTTCAAGGGTTCAGATCCCCATACAGGGGGGGTGCCAATGCCAAAAAAAAAAAAAAAAAAAAAAATTAAGGCTGGCCAGTTAGCTCACTTGGTTAGAGCACAGGGCTGAGAACTTCAATTTCAAGGGTTCAGATCCCCATACAGGGGGGGTGCCAATGCCAAAAAAAAAAAAAAAAAAAAAAATCAGAAACAGAAAATGGAAGTGTTGGTGAGGATGCAGATAGACTGAAACCTTTGTGCACTGCTGCTGAGAAAGTAAAGTAGCACAGATAGTATGAAAAATAGTTCCTAAAAAAATTAAAAATAGAAATACTACACAATCCAGCATTTCCATTTCTGGGTATCTCCTACACCCAAAAAGAATTGAAAGCAGGGTCTCAAATAGATATTTGTACACTCATCTTCATAGCAGCATTATTCCTGACAGTCCAAAGTTAGAAGTAACCCAAGTGTCCACTAACAGATGAACAGATAAAGATATGTAGTAGATACATACAATGGAATACTATTTCCTTCAAAAAGGAAGGAAATTCTGACACATGCTATTACATGGATGAACCTTGAGGACATTATTCTAAGGGAAATCAGCCAGTCACCAAAACACAAATACTGCATGACTCCACTTATATTAGGTACCAATAGTTGTCAAACTCATAGATACAGAGTGCAGAAACATTAAGCTGCCAAGGGCAGTAGGGATGGGGAATAAGTTGTTGTTGCAATGAGTTCAGTTTCACTTCTGCAAGACGAAAAGCGTTCTGGAGATTAGTTGCATAAAAATATGAATTTACATAATACTTCTGAACTGTCCACAGACATGGTCAATGATAAACTTTCTCCACTGTGAAATCTCTGATGTTTAAGGAGGCTGGAGTTGTACCTAAAGAATCACCCACATTTACAGAGCACATAAGCCTGTCTTCATTGTGGATTTTCTGGTGATGAACCAGATGGGACTTTCTAATGAAGGCCTTCCGGCATTTGCTGCACTCATAAGGCCTTTCCCCAGTGTGGATTTTCTGATGTTCAATAAGTATATGTTTGTGGCTAAAGGCTTTCCCACATTCGCTACACTCATAAGGCCTCTCTCCAGTGTGATTTCTCCAATGTTTAATGAGGTTGGAGTTGTACCTAAAGAACTTCCCACATTCACTGCACTCAAAAGGTCGTTCTCCAGTGTGAACTCTCTGATGTCTAATGAGTCTGCAGTGGTACCTAAAGGATTTCCCACATTCGCTGCACTTATAAGGCCTTTCTCCAGTGTGATTTCTCCAATGTTTTATGAGGTTGGAGTTGTACATAAAGAATTCCCCACATACACTGCACTCATAAGGCCTTTCTCCTGTGTGAACTCTCTGATGTCTAATGAGTGTGGATTTATACCTGAAGAATTTCCCACATTCGCTGCACTTATAAGGCTTTTCTCCACTATGAACTCTCTGATGTTTAATAAGCGTGGAGCTGTCCATAAAGAATTTCCCACATTTGCTGCACTCGAATGGTCTCTCTCCAGTATGAACTCTCTGATGTCTAACAAACGTGGAGCTGTACCTAAAGAATTTCCCACATATGTTGCACTCATAAGGCCTTTCTCCCGTGTGAACTCTCTTATGTCTCATGAGTCTATAGTTGTACATAAAGCATTTTCCACATTCTCTGCATTCATAAGTCCTTTCTTCACTGTGAATTCTCTGATGTTTCATGAAGTTAGCATTGTACCTAAAGAATTTCCCACATTTGCTGCACTCATAAGGTCTTCCTCCTGTGTGGATTTTTTGGTGCTCAACAAGTGAATGTTTGCAGTTGAAGGATTTCCCACATGTGCTGCATTTGTAATGATTTTCTCCAGTTTGAAAGATTTCCTTGCCCTCGGTGTCCCTGTATGGCTTCCACCCACTATGAGGAGCCTGGTGCTGGAGAAGGTCTGAATCGGCAGTAAATTCTTTGCCACCCTCCTTGCAGGGGAAGGTCCTCTCGGCCATGTGAATTCTGTGGTTCTTTGCAAATGAAGGCCTCCAATCGTCCCTTCTGGAAAGATGCTCTCCAATCTGCTGCTTTTGGTGCTGGTAAAGTTCTGCCTCACAAATATATATCTCTTGCTCAGGGTATGTTCCATTGTGCTTAGCCAGGTGCAGAATGTCTTTCAAGAGTGGGCCACGTGTCTCACTAGGCTGGGCCTTCTTCTGGGTGGATAAACCTGACTTTGGAGTTGTGACCTGTGACACTCTCACAGAAACACCTTGCTCAGCAGGAGCCTCCTCATCCTCAGCTCCATGCCAACAACCTGTAAGCAGAGAAGTGCTGGTGAAGTGCATGTTGACTTTGGAGGAGGGGAGCCCCATCAAAAATATGTCAGACACACCCACCAATAAGTCCATGGGACTGCTGACAGGCAATGTAGACTAAAGCCAGGGAGAAAGCAGCCTGCTGAGCAGAGCTGGGCCTGGCAAGCTCCTTTAATGGGAGAGCCCTGAGGATGGGTAAGGACACAAGGGAGGAGACAGTGCAAGGAGGATGGATAGCGTCTCCAACTCGCTTCGTAAAAATGGCTTTAAACAGGCCATGGCTGCTGGTGATTGGTGAGCAGTGTGTAGAAGGTTATGTCCAGACCCAGAGATCCCTGATTGCAACACAGTAGCTGGTGTTCAAGGACTATTAAGGGACATGTGCAGACCTCACAACACCTTAAGTCTAGGTCATATGTTGGAGGTCACTGTGCAAAGAGCAGTAGAAGAGAACAGATGAGAAATGGAGGCCACAGAAGTGGAGAATGTGCGGCAGGGGTTGCCAGGGGCCAGAAATCATAGTAGAAATGACAATTGGGAAGAAAGGGTAGAAATGAGTTGTGGCCACTGACCTTTGCATCAAATAATGGTGGACACAGGACAGGTTACCACTGTGATCTGAACCCAGCTCTGCCACATACCCTTTCCCAGCTCCCTAGCACCAGGACCATGTCCCTTTGAGACTCTACTGCCATTGCTGAAGTAATATCCATCCTCTCAGGTACCCAAGGTCCTCCCCTTAAGGTGACAACCTGTGTGGGACCTGGAAAAGGCCAGTCCGAAGGGAAAGACAGGGAAAGGAACTTGGACAGCACATGTGTAGAGATCCAACCCATGACATCTCACGTTTATAATCACACGAACTTCAGAGAAAAGTTCTACAGAATCAAATCAAAATTAGTGACCAGGTTAGTGCCTGAAATTCCTGGTACAAGAAGACACCAAGAAATATCAGAAAGAGCAAGAGGACAAATTGAAGCACAAAGGTCCCATGAATTTGGACAGAGTAACCCGACCAGGGACAGACAAGGCTGGTGGGAACTCTAAGCCAGCTTCAACATTTCTGATTCCTGAGCCCTTTCTTGAAAGCCTCAGAGCAGCAGTAGATGGGGCTGGCAGGGGAAAGAGGGAAAAGTGCACAGAGCCCAGCCCTGGCTCCCACAGTATATACGCCAGTAAACCAGAAAAGGAAGTTGTACCCATGATCTTGTGGGAAAGCCAGAGCTACCCTTGAGTAAAAGAACACAGCCCAACCCAGGACACTGGGTGGGTGTGAGGACCTTACCTAGTGAGGACAAAAGTGCCAAATTCTCCAGCATCACATCATGGTACAGGAATCTCTGAGCCTCATCAAGGTGCCCCCACTCCTCCTGGGAAAAATATATGGCCACGTCCTCAAAGACCACACGGCTCTGTCAAATTGGGACAGTTCAGTACATAAGCAGCTTCTTTTCAAACTATAGCTTCTTTTCAAACTATGTTTTCTTAAATTTTACACTTATCTATTTAGCACTCAGTCTGTTTTTGTTGCTTGTAACAAAATACCTGAAACTGGGTGATTTACAAAGAAAACGAAATTTATTGCTAAGTTTCTAAGGCTGAGAAGTCCAAAGTCCATCTGGTGGTGGTGACAGTGACACAGGGATCTCACATTGCAAGGTGGTGGAAGCAGAGAAAGCAGAGACAGACAGAGAGACTCTCCTCTTTTAAAGCCCTCAGAACCACTGCCCTGACCACCATTTTTAATCTACTCACTACTGCGTGATCATACAATCCAATTACCCCTTCAAGGCTCCACCTTTCAATTACTATAATAGATCTCCCACCCTCTTAACAGTCACAGTGGGGGCTAAGTTTCTAATACATAAAACTTCGGGGAAACAATTCAAGCTTCAGGAAGTTTTGAGGGGCCATAATTCAATCTACTACATTCCGCCCCTGACCCCCCAAAACTCATGTCCTTTCACATGCAAATACATTCATTTCGTCCCCAAAGTCTTAACTTGTTCCAACTCAAAAGTGAAACAGAGATCCTATTACGGTAATTGAAAGGTGGAGCCTTGAGGAGGTGATTGGATTGTAGGATCATGCAGTAGTGAATGGATTAAAAATGGTGGTCAGGGGTGTGGTTCTGAGGGCTTTAAAAGAGGAAAGTCTGTCTCTTTCTCTTTCTGCTTCCACCACCTTGCAATGTGAGATCCCTGGGTCACTGTCACCACCACCAGATGGACTTTGGACTTCCCAGCCTTAGAAAACTGTAAGCAATAAATTTCATTTTTCTTTGTAATTACCCAGTTCTGTGTATTCTGTTATAAGCAACACAAAACAGCCTAATACAGGCACCCACTACTTTCAAGCTCACACTAACAGCCAAATTTGTTTACATCTCTCCCGCCATGCAAAGTCCATATTCTGAACCATTCCCTTACCTAACTCTCACACACCAAGCCAATTATTTCCCTTGTCCTCAATCAACCAAGGGCCAGGTACCAGACAACTAAGGACAGCCCCTGTGCCCCAGGTTTGCTGGAATTATTCGAACTAGCCAATCCTGACCTATTCGACCTGCCCTGCCTTGCCTTTCCCTTGGGAACCCTAGTAAGGGCTGTGGTTGAAGCTTTCTCCTCCTGACCAAAGCTGGTACTTCACCATGTGGCCCTGCATTATGGGGTGTGCACCCTCCTTGGGGAAACGTAAGGAATAAATGTCTCTTCTTTTAATGTCATTGGCCTGTCCCTGTCATCACTCACCCATGTGGATAAATTAAAACCCCATGGGTACAATCACTGCCACACTTCTCTCTCCAGGTTCTCAGTACCTCTCTCCCACACAGCCATCCCCTGATCATTCTCCTCCACAACACCTTCCCAATGTGGAATTGACACCAGGTCCTGATGGCACCGGTACCTTTTCTCTCCTCATTTCCATTAATCACTGTGTCCAACACACAGAGAGGAAAAAAAAAAAAAATACAGATGGGGAGGGGGCAGAAAAGCACCATCTAGGCTGTGGGGCTGGCATGTAGGGCTCCATCCATCTCCTGCAAGCCAATTTCCCTGGGGTCCCCCAGATCTTGCCTCCCAGACAACCAAACTTATGTGCCCTGTTCTAGAGCCTGGGGCCATCCAGTCACACTCCTCCTGCCTGCACATCACTCTCTGGGCAGCACCTCTATCACATCTTTGGCCCCTCCACTACTGCAATTGCAAAGATAACTCCCAGCCCACAGCATGGGTCTCTCCTTTGCCTCTTAACAGGCCATTCTGCACATGGAAACCAGGTAGTATATGGCAAATACATCCAGCATCCAATTCAGCCCCAGTCCTGCCCCAGAACACCAAAGCCCCCTAGAGCTATGGGCAGCCCTAAGCCCTGCTTCGAAGGTCTTCCCACCTGGCCCTGTTTACTTCACAGTTAGCCACCCAAACCCATGTGAAGACCTCACGTATACATGGCTGCCTCGCACTTCTGAATTGGACCTGTCCCACGAGCAATCAGGACCACCTGTCCTCCACCAAAACCTCATTCAAATCCCAGTTGCATTGACCTCCAAGCCTCATCCCCACCCCTACCCAACCGAACCAAGGTTTAGCAACTCTCCTAACATCCCATTTTCCCCCTCAACGTCCATATCATTTCCACTCTCACCTCAGAAGCCTTGCTCCTACACTCCACTGTCACATGCACACTTCCCCACAGACACTCGCTCCCTCATCACTTTTGAGACCCCACCCCCACCCCACACCATCCAGGTGCCCAACCGAGAAACCCAGTTCTCAGCCTCCTCATTCCCATTCCTTACCCCTGTACAGCACTGCCACCATAACTAGAGATGCCGCCTCCTAAATTCCAGAGTTTTGTTCCAGTCCACACACCAGCCACCATGTTGTCAATGTCTCCAACCTGAACACCTCCACTAGGAGTCTCTGGAACATTTGTTACGTGAACAAAAACTGACTCCTCATATTCCCTCTGAAAATTCCTCATGCTGCTTACTTCCCTCACCTTAGTTGATGGAGCATCTATCCTACCAAACAAGACCAAAAACTGTGGGACTATCCCTGCTTCTCTTTCCATCCCACCTCCCCAGCTCCCTTGCTTTCTACATCATAAAATGTGGGCAGCAATAGTTCAAAATATACCTAGAAGTCAACCGCTCCACAGCCACCACTCGTGTCCAGCCATCACTAACATCCACCTGGGCTGCTGCAAGAACATTCTGCCACGTCTTCCTGCCTTTACCCTCACCTCCACAGGTTGTCCTCACCTCTTGCGCCAGAGGGAGTCTCTTAAATCTCAGCCATATCACCTGGCTTGTCTGCTCCAAAACTTCCCTAGTTCCCACCCTCAGATTAGAGGCCTGGAACTTCAGGCTGTCATTCCAGGTCTGATGTCTATGTGCTTCCAGCCAGCTCCCATACTGTTCCCCATTCCTACAAATACAACAGACGCTTGCAGTTCCTTGAACATCCAACCTCAGTCTCACCTCCAAGCATTTAAACATTCTGAATCCTGTGCCCAGAACACTTAGACACATCTTACCCCACCATTTGCCAAAAATGGAAACCACTCCACCTAACCCAGGACTGAATTTAGGATACCTAGCCTGGTGGAACCATACAATCTTAAGAAATAGGACAGAGAGAGAGAAAAAAACAAAAAAAAGAGTCTCAAGACACCATCTTTCTTTATATTGCCAAACCATCTGGGAGATAACTGGGGTAGGTGACAGGTAGGAAACCCTCTTCCACTCACCTGTGCAGGGTCCATTTCTGCCATTGCCAGGGGGCCCTGAGGGAAGAGAAGGCCATGAAAAATGGGCAACCATGGTAAGATGCTATAGGCTAAGCTGGACCACCACCTCATCTGAACTACCCTGGAGCAAAATTACCTCAAGGTGATTGTATACACTCAGTTCTTCAGACCTCAGTGCTGTCTCTTAGCAGCTCTGTGACTCTGGAAAAGGACTGAACCTCCCTGAGCCTCAGTGACCCATTTGTAAATAGGGGATAAAAAGGGTTTATAGCTCATAGGGCCCATATTGGTACAAACAGTAGTAGCACATATTATGTATCAGCTGTTAATGTCAACAGGATTAAACATTCTGAATAGGTTTTCAGAGCAAGTGTACTAGGAGGGTTTTGAAATTTGGGATGCATATTTTTAGCATTTTAAAATTTTAGAGAGGCGGGCCAGTTGGCTCAGTTGGTTAGAGCAGCTTGCTAGGGGACCTTGACTGGAGCTGTCGATCATCTCTTCTTGCCCTAAGATGAGAAGGAGGGGAGGAAGGTGTGCCCTGGTCTGGAACCCAGCTGCTCCACTAGCCTTAATGACCTTCCTCTTGTTCTACAGAGAGTGGTCCTGAGAGTCAGCCAAACCTGTAGGTGGAGAATCTGCACCAGCTTACACCTCAGTTTTCAACCTAGGACAGCTTTTTGCTCCATCTGGGCCTCCCTTTTTGTAGACATAGGCCAGAATCGTTCCTATGCCAGATGTGCACCTTATGGAGGGAGAATCAGGGTTGTGGACCCACCACCCTCTGCCCTTAAAAACTCAGCCCTCCCCTCCCTCACCACAGAGCCCATTTAAAATAACAACCTTAAGACTTCCCTACTCAATCTGATTCTAAGGCCAAGCCCTGGTTCAGTCCACACCCTACATCCCTTTGATACCTCCAACCCAGCCCTGTTCCTCAGACTCCAGACCTTCATGTCCCCCTAGCCATGTGACATCTCCATCTTGAAACATTTGACAGTTACCACGTTCAAAGTCCAACCCATGGTCTTCTCCCTGAAACCTGCTCTTTATGCTGACTTCCTCAACTCCATTCATTCAAATGTTCAGGAAAAAGGAAAACAAACAAACACACCCCTTGAGATGGTTCTTCACTCCCTATCCTTATTCACATATTTATGCAGCAGAAAATCCTATCCGCTCTACCTTTCAAATCTACGCAGAATCTGCTCACAACTTCCCTCTACTCTGCCACCACTCTTGGCCCGGCCACTATCATAATTCTGGGTCTACTGCAGTGGCCTCCTCACCTGTCTCCATTCCCCATCATGTTTTTCCCAACTTTAAACTTCTTAACTCTGGATATGCCCCTCCCATTACCCCTTCAGGCACAGTTTCCATGGCTCCCACTTACTCAGGCTGCCATTCCACCAAACCCTCGCTACCCTGCAGACACAAGACACCCCGAGTTTCCCCAATGCTTGTTGACTCAGTAGTACCTACAAGGCTTTGCACACGCCGGTCCCGAACAGGAACTCTCCCCCACTCCTCGTCACACTGGGCGAAATGGGACCCCACACACAAGCACGCCCCTGTCTTCTGAACACAGGGACCTGACCTGCAATGAACTCGGCAGGCGCCTCTCAATCCGGGCTTCAGCACTCGGAGGTGAGGGTCCGGCCGGGGCAGGGCCTGGAGACGCAGCACCTACCTGAGTCGAGTTCACCGACGTGGCCTCCGCCAACCGAGCCAAGGATGAGCGGGGTCGGGAGTGGCGGTGACAGTGGCTGGAAAAAGGCACGGCTGCTCGGCTGGGCTTCACGCCTGCCACTGTGCAGTGGGGACCAAGCGTCTTCTCGCCCTTTTCCGCTCCGTCACCTCGGTGACGACCAAGCGTGCCATAGACCTGAGTGTATGAAAAAAACAGAGATCACCCAAAATGGCCACCGCTCGGAGGACGCCAGAAGTCCCGCCCTCACGTGCTGCGTACGCACGTAAACGTCCCTCCCTAAGCCTTCATTGGCTCAGCAGCGCCGCCGCGGCCCGTACAGACGTCAGCGCACGGATGTCTTGTTTATGTAGTTTCCATGTCGCTCCCGGACACGTCTTAGTGCGTTGATCACGCTCTTACATGACGTATAAAGGCACGGTGGCAGCGTGAGGGATGCTGGGAAATGGAGTTCCGGGGCTCCAAAGACGGATCGGGGCTTGGCTTGTTCCCAAAGCCGATGTCCCCCAGATACTCTCGGAGTGCAGTCTAGGATACTCACAGAAATATTAGGGACCTATTATTTCAGACTCCACGAAGCACAGAGAGTTCCCAAAGTCTACATACACATCCAAACGGACACACCATAGTGTAAACGCACTCTGTCTACTCACAGTTATCAGCTATCTTGTCACTTTTCAAATATGGTACATGTAGAGTTAAGCTTTGCAATCAGTTTAATAAGCTTCAATATGTTGTCCCCTGAGAAGAAAGAAAGACTAGAGACAGGGCAATGGCAGGGAATTTGCAGAAAGGATGACAGAAGGTGCCAAGTAGATTGAAAGGGTGAAGCTGTACCTCTGTTTCCAAGAGAAAACAACTTTCCTGGCTGTATAGTCAGTAAATGTGTTGCTACCAAGGGAGCAACACTTCATTTAAATAATATTTATTTCTGCATATCTAAGATATCTTCCATTTATTTTAGGAATCTCAATCCTATCTGAAAATGAGAGCGAGTGATCACACGCCATTTCCTGGCGAGACATTGTGTGCCGTTTTCACAGCCGCAGCACATGTGTGTGCAAAAGATGTCATCTTATCCTACAAAAAAGGCGTGGGATACCATGATCTCATCTCCTTGCTGGGAAGTGACATCATTTCACCTGTATTTGCAAGTGTCTGCACAAGGAGTTAAAATTATTTGTGAAACCACTTGTGAAATGGAAATTACTGAAAGATATTAATAACGATTATGTAGGTGTTTTTTAAAGTGGCAGGAATAGTTCTAGAGAAACATCTGTGACATCTGAAGAAAAGATCTCAGTGAAGTCTGACCGCGAGCCAGGGAAGTCTGAGAAGTGAGAGAATTAAGCTGAGCCTGTAGCTGTACTAGAACCTTCAACACACTCATGCTTTTGTCTCCAAAATGTAATTCTTTTTTCACACTTGAAAATATAGCTCATTAACTGCTTAGTGGTGTTAAGTAGAGACGATAAATTGAAAGACTTGCCACAAAGGTAAAAATGAATAGGGAAGCTCTGCGGTGATGTGATTTACTGCTCTACCAAATGTTCGATTAGCATGTATTGGGTTTCAGGTCAATAGTAGGTATATGGGACACATCGGGAATAGGGTTGCCAGCTGCTGTGCGTATATAGAACTATTCTGTGTTGGGTTCTTTTTAGATTTTGTATCTGTCTGATTGTTATTCATTAATCAAAGAGCCAAACAGCCAAAGTTAGTTGCTTCTCTTTCTTGTAAGTCACTTTCTCAAGTGCATGAAACTAATATAAAAGCCCCCCAACCACAAACCTTAACGTGTGTTTTCTCTTCCTGCCCAGTGGGGATGTCTCCATCCTGTTACTCCCTGCCACTTTAGTCATAATGGCATAGTCCCAGTTCCTCTCTTGTCTCTCACTGCCTCCTGGTCCCTGTATGTGATAAGGTCTCTTGTGGCCTGCATGGTGTGCAGTGCCTCTTATTTCCAGGGTAACTGTGAGTAACACTAAACTTTCCTTTTAATGGTGACCTCTCTGTGTTGATACTAACTCACCTTTATGAATTAAACCCAGACACATTTCAAAGACATGTCCTGTATTTAATGTTTTTACATGAATCCTTTTTTTGTTGGATTGTTGTTGTTTTCATTTGGGGGGGGGGGGCTTTTTTTTCTTTTTTTTTTTTTTTTGGTGGCTGGCAGATACAGGGATCCAAACCCTTGACCTTAGTGTTATAACACTGTGCTCTAACTGACTGAGCTAACCAGCAGTCTCACACATCCTTTATTGACTTGTCAGGATGGCTTACATATCCTGCATTCAGCTTTTTGCAATACATTACAAAAAGTTGGCAGTTAGAGATATTTCTCTCACACTTTAATTAGCAATTAAATCACTTAGGGGCAACACTAGCTGAAAATCATATAGCCACAAATAAAAGTCTAGACAACACAATGCTCTCCTTGCAAGTTTGGCTGTGAGAAGACCAAAGAGAGAAAGTGAAAATTAAATTGCTTATTTTTCTTGTTCAGGAAAGGACAGGACTTTTCTCTGGCCCAAATCCAAAGTCCTGAGCAATTAACTACTATTAACTAGAGATAACTTTGGATTAGTACATATGGTCTGAAAGTCAGCCAGTCAGCAACAGCTTCATCCCAGTGACTAATCTGACACTTAGCAAATCATTATTAGGCCAAGCTTCTAAAATTCTGCCAGTTAAGGTAAGGCCCAGTCCTAAGGACAGCCAAGCAGTTACAGCCCCAGGCTTCCAGGCAACAACCAATCAGTAAGTGCCTCAATTCAGTAACCTTGTTTATGAATGCGAATTGATCAACAGTTGTGATCACACTAACCAATCTGAAAGTCCATCAATCCTTCAACACCGCTGCTTCTGAAAGTACACAAACCCTGAAGGCCAAGCTTCCCAGAAGCTTTTGTAATAGTAGCTTCAGCTTTTAAGAGGACATTGCCTGACAACTACATTTCTGACTTGCAGACAACAAAGACATACCCTTTTTTTTTTTTTTTTTGGCATCAGATATCAAGTTTGTAACCTTTCAATGGTTCAATCTCTGCTTATGGTTAGTTGTGAGTTTGGACGTGAAATAATAAACTAAATGACCCAGACAGGACATAATAAAATGCAGTGTTTTAAATACTTGTGGAAGTTGCTATTATCTATTTTTTTTTAATGTATATTGAATACAAAAATGTCAAAATGCAAGTTTATAATTTATCAATTTTATGCATAGAGGGTATTTATTAAATAAGGAAAAATCCTTTTGAAGGTATTTGACAGTATGTAACTGTCCATTTAATATTAAAAATGATGGGCAGTCAGATGTATACTAGTTAACCAGGAGAGATGCATGGTTTTCTCAACTAGTACAAAAGAAGGTGAAAAAAATAACTTTTTTTTTATTAAGAAACATTCAGATGTAGAAGATAATCACAACAGAATTTGTAATGCCTTCCACACTGATTATCATCATCAGTGATTGTGCTCAAAATTCTACTGTTGAGTGTGTTCCTCATTAATGAATGTTCAGCAGACAAATAAGTTGGATATGACTACAGTAGAAGCTGTGTTACAATGTAAATGTAATATAGACTGTAACTTTAAGGAATTCTGTAAGCAATTCTGTAAAACAAGGAATTGTTAAGGAGAGGCAAATTATAGGGCCGGCCCGTGGCTCACTTGGGAGAGTGTGGTGCTGACAACACGAAGGCCACAGGTTCAGATCCCTATATAGGGATGGCTGGTTAGCTCACTTGGGAGAGCGTGGTGCTGACAACACCAAGTCAAGGGTTAAGATCCCCTTACCGGTCATCTTAAAAAAAAAAAAAAAAAAGAGAGAGGCAAATTATCAGGAAACTACAGTTAAAGAAAAAATATGTCATTTAGACAATTATCATTTATTTCAGATAATCAACAAGTAATTTTTAGGATAAGTATGTCCCATGCAATATTTATCTTTTATCTCAGTGTGCATGTACATAGGTAATTAGAAGTAATTCGAATTTAACTGAGACAATTATTTTTTACAAAATTTGTCAATCTTACTCTTCCTCATTATCGAACCTAATGACCCATTGAAATAATTTCTGCTACCCTTCTCCTTAACTGTAACTTCTCCTAGTAGGGGGGTCTTTATTCCAAGGGGGAAAAGGTTCCACCAGAAGAATAATATTATTTACATTGAACTGGAGGGTGATACAGCTACTGGTTCATTTGGGGCTCCTCATGCCACTTAGGAGAAAAGGGATTGCTCTGCTGCTTTAGATGATTTTTTCTCTATCACAAAGGGGAAGCCAAAGGGAAATTGAGTTGCTACTATACAATGGGAAGAATCATGGAGAGCTATGTCTAAAATCCAGGGGATTTCTGGGGAATGTTTAGGTAAGTCCATGTTCAAAAATAAAATGTAGCAACTCGAAAGCAGAACCTCTAAGAATCAGACCATTTGGTTTTGATATTTGGAGTCATCCTCCACATTAATAAACAAATAATAAAACACTTCTCAGCTGAATATCAAAAGCAAAGGGGTGGGATAGGTTGTAGAAAAAGAATAAAAATTAAACCGATTTTCAACATAAAACCAGTTAAGAAAACAGGAACCCTCAATATTGTGGATATTTTCTTCCTTATTTACGTGTGAGGGATTCACTATGCAAATGGACAATGGCTAAACCAAATATAAAACAGAACTCGAGCCCACAATGAGCACCAACCAGCTCAGGAAGCCAACCTACTATCGACAATGACCAGGAAGTCAGACTACTATCTCTCGCAACCACTCCAGGAAGCCAAACAGTAACCAATGGGCCCCAAATGGCCAGGATTTGATTAATTACTGGCAGCTTCCTTAACTTTTGCCCATACTCCACTTAGAACCAACTGGAGAAAGCTAAATATGTACCCTTAATCAATTAAATAGGATGTCTTACTTCTACGTAGCCCTCCTGATACTTCCCTATGCCAATAACCTCCAAGTAGGGCTTACCTGAAACATTCCTTTTTTTCTATTATAAAACATTTCCACTTCACTCTTTTTTATCTGTCAAATGCAATGATGGTGGTTGACTCTCTTACTATATACAGTAAATTCATAACAAAAGGGCTTTGCTTGTTCTCATTTGAATCTTCATTTATTTACAGAGTTACCTGTGTCTGGAATCTAACATGGCTACCATTGAGCATCTCTCTCATTAATGAAGCTTCAATGGACAAAGGAATGAAATAAA